CGCAAGGGCGTTCGACAGATTTCGACAAGCGCGCGCGCGCGAAGCCCGTTTGGTAGCATTTTGTGAAATGCTTGAAAAAAAACCTATGGTTTTGTGCTTGAAAAAAACCTATGGTTTTCTTAAGATTTCGCAAGAGCTCGCGCGGAAGCTTTTTTAGCAAATCAGTGCTGCGAAACCCTATGTTTTTCAATGTTGTTTTGAAACTCGATTGCGAAATCCTTCCGGCACCGAAGGTTTTTGAAGAATTCCGGCATGCGCGCGCGACGACGCGCGCGCACGCACTTCGTCCCATATCTTGCAAGGGATTCGTGAAAAAGTGCTATGTTAGAACACACAATGTCACCGCATAATGTTTTTTAGAAGGGACCCTCAGGGGGGGGAACCCGGTTGGCCTTGGACATTGCGATTTCATATTTATGATGGACATGTGGTCAGAATCACATCTGATTTACATACCCGAAAGGGGGACCGATAACGCCGGGGGGGGGGAGATCCTATTCTGTTTTAGGAGAATCCACTCTGCTGAACTGGAAGTCGTCATCTCCACTGCTCGCGCAAACATCCCACCCACCCACCCGCAACTTCGCTTGCAAAACCTCTTAAGACCGACTACGACGACACCGACGACAATGACGACGACGACACCGACGACGTCTCCGACGTCTCCGACGACGATACCGACGCCGACGCCGACGACGACGAAGACGACGACGTCGCCAACGAAAGCGACGACGAGGGAGGAGGAAGGACGACGACGGCGACAACGACGACAACGACGACAACGACGAGGGAGGAGGGAGGACGGCGACGACGCGAACGACGAAGATGGAGGAAGGACGGCGACGCCGACGACGACAACGACGAGGGAGGAGGGAAAACGACGACAACGACGACGACGACGACGGTGACGAAATAGGAGGGACGACGACGAGACGCCGACGACGGACGACGACGACGACGACGACGACGAGGGAGGAGGAGGAGGAGGAAGGACGACCACGGCGACAACGACGGCGGAAACGACCACGACGCCAAAGAGGACGACGACGACGACGACGAACACGAGGAAAGACGGAGGACGACGTAGGCGACGACGACGACGACGACGCGGGAGAAGGGAGGACGGCGATGACGCCGACGACGACGACGACGCAAGAGCGCGCGCGCAAGCTTTTATTGAAAATGCGTGCTGCGAAACCTTGGTTTTTTGTATGTTTTTTGGACGCACGATTTTGACATCCTTCCGAAACCGATGGGTTTCGAAGGTTTTCGGCATACGCGCGCGACGACGCGCGCGTCTGCACTTCGTCCCATTTGTTGCAGAGGATTCTCGCGACGGCACACGCGCAAGGGCGTTCGACAGATTTCGACATGCGCGCGCGCGAAGCCCGTTTAATAGCATTTTGTGAAAATCTTGAAAAACCTATGGTTTTCTTAGGGTTTCGCAAGAGCTCGCGCGGAAGCTTCTTTAGCAAATCCGTGTTGCGAAACCCTAGGTTTTTCTGTGTTTTTTGGAAATTCGATTGCGACATCCTTCCAGCACCGAAGGTTTCTGAAGGATTTCGGCATGCGCGCGCGACGACGCGCGCGTGTGCACTTCGTCACATTTTTTGCAAGGGACTCGCGAAGAAGTGCTACGTTAGAACAAAACATGTCACCGCATAGTGTTTTTCACAAGGGAACCTCAAGGGGGGGAACCCGGCTGGCCTGGGATAGTGTAAATTTATATTTAGGACGGACATGCGGTCAGAGACGTGACTGATTTACATACCCGAAAGGGACCGATAACGCCGGGGGGGGTAGATCACATTCTGTTTTTAGATTGATTTTTACCGATGATTTGACACATCCCACGCTCTTGCAAACATCCCACCCACCCACCCGCAACTTGGTTTGCAAAACCTCTTAAGACCGACTACGACGACACCGACGACAACGACTACGACGACACCGACGACGTCTCCGAAGGCTTCGACGACGACAACAACGCCGACGCCGACGACGACGAAGACGACGACGACGTCGCCAACGAAAACGACGACGACAGTGGAGGGAGGACGACGACGGCGACAACGACGACAACGACGAGGGAGGAGGGAGGACGGCGACGACGCGAACGACGAAGAAAGAGGAAGGACGGCGACGCCGACGACGACAACGACAAGGGAGGAGGGAAGACGACGACGAGACGACGACGACAACGACGACGACGACGGCGACGAAATAGGAGGGACGACGACGCGACGCCGACGACGGACGACGACGACGACGAGGGAGGAGGAGGAGGAAGGACGACCATGGCGACAACAACGACGGAAACGACCACGACGCAAAAGAGGACGACGACGACGAACACGAGGAAAGACAGAGGACGACGTAGGCGACGACGACGACGACGCGGGAGAACGGAGGACGGCGACGACGACGATGACGACGACGACGCCGCAAGAGCGCGCGCGCACGCTTTTGTTGAAAATGCGTGTTGCGAAACCTTCGTTTTGGTATGTTTTTTGGACACAGAATTTTGAAATCCTTCCGAAACCGATGGGTTTTGAAGGATTGCGGCATACGCGCGCGACGACGCGCGCGTCTGCACTTCGTCCCATTTGTTGCAGGGGATTCTCGCGACGGCACACGCGCAAGGGCGTTCGACAGATTTCGACATGCGCGCGCGCGAAGCCCGTTTAATAGCATGTTGTGAAAGTCTTGAACAAAAAAAGAACCGATGGTTTTCTTAAGATTTCGCAAGAGCTCGCGCGGAAGCTTATTTGGCAAATCAGTGTTGCGAAACCCTGTGTTTTTGTAGGTGTTTGGGAAACTCGATTGCGAAATCCTTCCGGCACCGAAAATTTTTGAAGGATTTTGGCATGCGCTCGCGGCGACGCGCGCGTCTGCACTCCGCCCCATTTGTTGCAGGGGGTTCTCGCGAGGGCACACGCGCAAGGGCGTTCGACAGATTTCGACATGCGCGCGCGAAGCCCGTTTAATAGCACGTTGTGAAAGTCTTGAAAAAAAGAGCCGATGGTTTTCTTAAGATTTCGCAAGAGCTCGCGCGAAAGCTTATTTGGCAAATCAGTGTTGCGAAACCCTTTTTTTGCAGGTGTTTTGGAAACTCGATTGCGACATCTTTCCGGCACCGAAGGTTTTTGAAGGATTTCGGCATGCGCGCGCGACGACGCGCGCGTGCGCACTGCGCGCCTTTTTGCTGCAAGGGATTCGTGAAAAAGCGCTACGCTAAAACAAAAAATGTCACCGCATAATGTTTGTTTTTTTTCAAGGGGACAGGGGGGGGGGGATGCCGCCCCCCCGGGGATAGTGTAAATTTATATTTAGGATGGACATGCGGTCAGAATCGTAAATGATTTACATGCCCGAAAGGGGGACCGATAACGCCGGGGGGGGGGGTGATCCTATTTTGTTGTTAGGAAGGAGAAAAAAAGATAATTGATTTTTACACATGATTTGGCACATCCCACGCTCTTGCAAACATCCTACCCACCCACCCGCAACTTGGTCTGCAACTCCTCTGAATACCGACTACGACGACACCGACGACAACGACTGCGACGACGCCGACAACGTCTCCGACGACTTCGACGACGACAACGACGCCTCCGCCGACGACGACGAAGACGACGACGACATCGCCAACGAAGACGACGAGCGAGCGAGGAGGAGGGCGACGGCACACGCGCAAGGATGTTCGACAGATTTCGACATGCGCGCGCGACGCCCGTTTGGTAGCATGTCGTGAAAATCTTGAAAAACCAATGGTTTCTTAAGATGTCGCAAGACCTCGCGCGTAAGCTTTTTTAGCAAATCAGTGTTGCGAAACCCTGTGTTTTTGTAGGTGTTTTGGAAACTCGATTGCGACATCCTTTCGGCTCCGAAGATCGGCATTCTCGCGCGACGACGCGCGAGCGCGCACTTCGTCCTATTTGTTGCAAGGGATTCGCGGAAAAGTTCCATGATAGAACAAGCAATGTCACCGCATAGTGTTTTTTACAAGGGCATCTCCGCTCGGAAGAAGTGCCCCCCCCCCAGCCGGCGCTGCCTGTGACAGACCGACTGCCGCGGACGCGATGGCACGCGTCAAGTGCCTGAGGGGGTGAGCAGACGCTAGACTGCTCACCAGGAAGCCTCCGAAAACTTATCCTCGCTTCCGCTTGCTCCGACAAGGCTGGCCGCCCTGGAGGGGCCACGCACAACGCTGCGCAGAACTACGAACGTGAAGAGAAGAAGAAACGAGGGGGGGAGGACGGGGAAAGGGTGGTGCCGAAAAGGCTATGGGGGACACCGACAGCGAGATAACGCACCAACATGCATACATCCCCGCTCGGAAGAAGCGCCCCCCCCAGCCGGCACTGCTTGTGAACAACCAACTGCCGCGGACGCGATGGCACGCGTCAAGTGCCTGATGGGGGTGAGAAGACGCTAGACTGCTCACCAGGAAGCCTCCGACAACTTATCCTCGCTTCCGCTTGCTCCGACAAGGCTGGCCGCCCTGGAGGGGCCACGCACAGCGCTGCGCAGAACTACGAACGTGAAGAGAAGAAGAAACGAGGGGGGGAGGACGGGGAAAGGGTGGTGCCGAAAAGGCTATGGGGGACACCGACAGCGAGATAACGCACCAACATGCATACATCCCCGCTCGGAAGAAGCGCCCCCCCCCAGCCGGCACTGCTTGTGAACAACCGACTGCCGCGGACGCGATGGCACGCGTCAAGTGCCTGATGGGGGTGAGAAGACGCTAGACTGCTCACCAGGAAACCTCCGAAAACTTATCCTCGTTTTCGCTTGCCGCGACTTGCCGGCACTTCATTGCGCAGGACCTTGCTGAGTGGGGCCAGCAGTCGTCCAGGCAGTTCATTTCTGAGCTTTTGTGCTTGGGCCACATGATTAGGTGAGACCTTCTGGAGCAGCGCCGCAGGCCTCATATAGATCCGACAACTTTCTGCACGCATCCAGCGGCCGCGGCTCTGAATGTCAGGCAGGCCAACCCCGTTCTTGAACGCGTCATGCGACGGGCCTCCGCGCCGCGTCCCGTGCGGCACCTCCTTGTAGCCCAGGTGGTCGGAGGCTTGGTTGAAGGCCTTCTCGACAGCCGCCAGCGCGAGGCCTCTGAACAGCAGCTCGCCTGGCTTCGTCCGATCGAAGACGCTCTTGAGCAGGGGCTCCACCCAGCCACGATCTTGCCGGGCGGCCACCACCCCGGCGTCGAACTGCCCGTTCTTGGCGGGCCTGTCTCTGGTCGAGGGGGCAACCGTGATGCTCCACTTCTGGATCGAGGCGCCCTTCACGGGCTTGCACAGGTCCTCCTTGCGGAGCTCGATCGCCTCGGACGGCCTGAGATAGCAGTCCCAGGCCAGCGCGGCGAAGAACCCAACGAGGTGCAGCTCGTGCTGGATGAAGAAGTCGACGAAAAGCCAGAACATCTCCTCGCACGGTGGGCCCCTTGACTTCTCTGGCGCTCTTCGAGAGAACGCGCGCAGCGTGGCCTTGGCAAGAGCACATCAGCCGGGGGCTTTGATCGGAAAGTCCAATGTCCAGGCAACGCCGTAGAGGGCATAGCGGGCAGCGCTCACTGCAGCGCCGTCCAAGAAGAGGAACTCCATGTACTCGACGAGGAGCTTGTCCCACTGCGCCACGTCGGTGACGGCTGGGACCGAGCGGGCGAAGCGGACCACGGCAGCGCAGCAGTCGCGATAGCGCTGCTGCGTCGCAGGGCCCACCGCCAGGCGACCCAGAAACCCAGGCCCCTCCTCAGCGCGGCGCCGGCGTCGCTGACCTGCAGCACGGCGATCGGCGGCGGCCAGGCCCCTGGCGGTCAGCGAGGACGCCCAGCTCCCATTTGAGCGGCTGCCCGCCCCAATACCCGTCTGCTTTCTCCCACCCGAGCGTGGCCTTAGCCGGGAGGGGTGCCACCTGGACGAAGTGGCTGACCTTCTGGCCGAGGCAGGCTGCCAAGTGCTCCTCCCGCCGCTGGTCGACGCGGGACTCGCCCTCCTTCCTCCAGGCGGCTGGCGGAGCGGCATCCAGCAGCACTCCCGCCAGGCGGCGGCAAAACTGAGGAGGGCAAGCCGAGGCGAAAGACGCCCCCCACCGCCAGCGAGCCGGTGACGTCGCCGCGGCTGGGAGGTGAACCGACCCCTGCAGCACGACGTGTCGCGCGTGCCCGGGGCACCTGGCCTCCACGCGCTCAAGGCCCTGCAGGTTGCCCACGAGCAGGGTCGGCTTCTTCCATGCTGCGCCGAAGGTGCACATGTCCAGCTCCACGCGAACGGCAGCAGCGCGCCTAAGCAGGCGCTCCAGCGGCGGCCAGCTCCAGAGGTGGCTCGACCGAGGGTTCTCGATGACGAACTGAGCGCCAGCGTCGAGGCAGGCCCGCGCCACTCGACGCGAGAAATTGGCGCAGGCAAGACCGGAGGCCGACGCGGCCGAGCCCGCCATCTCGCCACCTCGCCGAGCAGCGCTCCAGCGCGCGCAGGGGGCCCCCAGGGCGATAGCCCAGATCGAGCCGCACAGGATCCACTGCGCGATGGCGTCCGCGACCGGGGCCCTGGTGACGTCGAAGTACTCTGCGCTGATGTGGTCGACTGGAGCAGCGCAGCGTAGCCCGCCGCCCCGGGCTCCAGCGGTGAGGCGGCATCGCCCAGCGAAGAGCTGGAGGAAGTAAACCTCGCCACGCTGTCTGGGCCCGCGGCGCCGAAGGCGGCGAGCAGCGCTCCCCGCCGCGGCCAGCTGCAGGCTGTCACGCGCGGCCTCTTCGCCCGCCTCTGGCGCCCGAGGGGTCGGCGGGCGTCGAGGGCTCCTCGGCGCGGGCGAGCGGGCGGCCCAGGCGGCCAGCGTCTCGAAGTTCGGCAGCCCGGCCCTGCACGCTCTGACCTGCCCCGCGCCACCGCAACCTGGAGGCGAAGTCCGAGGGGTTGCGGTCGGTGCGGATGTGCCTCCGCGCCCACCGCGCGCTGGCAGCGATCTGCCATGCGGTTCCCCGTCGGAGCAGCGCCAGCAGCTCCCAGGCTCGAGCTCGTCCGCGATCGCAGGCGAGGATCTCAGACATGTTGTCCCCGAAGGAGAGCAGCACGGCGTTGTGGTTCGCACTGTTGCTGCAGTGGCCGGCGAGCCCCATGAGCGCTCCGCGCGCCCCCAGGTTGTGGACCTTATCAGGATGCTTCCAGCTCCCAGCTCGGATGCATCTCCAGCGTTCGGGGAGATCCCACTCATGGCCGAGAGCAGGCACCAAACCAACAACCTCCACGACATCGCCCAGCTGCGACTCACTCGGGACGACGGCGACGCGCGACTCCCGCAGCCGACCCAGCTCCTGATCCACCTCGCGGGCGGCCCAGGCGCTGAACGTCTCCCAGCCCGTCTCCAGCTCGGGGGTCTCGTCGGGCAGGGCACCGGCGCCGCAGTCGTTCCCGTGCTCGCCCCCCAGCTCCCTGAACCTCCAGCGCTCGCGGTAGATGGCCGCGGCCCATGCCTCCCGGGGGGTCGCCCTCGTGATGTGGGCGGCGCGCGCATGCGAGCTCGAGTCGCTGCAGTAGACGCGCTCCACAATGGGGCGGCCGAGGTCCGAGACGGCGAGGGGCCGGGAGCCCCTGATGAGTCTGGCCTCGGCGAGCTCGTTGGCGTCAAACTCCCTCCACTCTCCGCGGCCACCCCCGATGAACGGGCACAGGTACTGCAGAGTCGAGAGCAGCTCCCGCCCGGTCGAAAAGTGGTCGACGATGTGCCAACCACCCGCCCGACGATGCCAGGGGCGGAGCCCTTGGTGAACTCGAGCTCGCGGAGGGCGTGCCACAGCCGCCAAATGCGCGACGACCGGGGGGCGAGCGACCGTCTCGTTCCCTCGATCCGCCTGCCCACCAGCTCCAGCTCCGTGGTCGGGTCGACGTTCTCGTGAGTGGCGAAGCCCATGGCGTGCAGCTCCTCCGAGAGCGCCTCGTGGAGCGCGGCGGTCGCCTCGAGCGAGCCCCCAATGACGTTCCCGTTGTCGACGTAGGGCGCCACCGCAGCAAACCCAAGGCCGAAAGCAGGGCTTGGGCGCCAGTCGGCCAGCGGCTCGGCGCCGCTCCCGACCTTGCACATCGCTCGGCGCCCAGCCTCCTCCAGCGCGCTGTGGCAGAAGAAGAGCGCCCACGACCAGCCCATGGCGAGCCCGCCGAAGCAGGCCCACAGCTGGTCGCCAGGGCAGACGGGCTCCATCCTCGCGGCGTCCTCGTCGTAGACAGCCGCGACGTTGAGCCCCCTCGCGGTGTAGATCTCGTCGCAGAAGCCATGGGGGGAAGCCCGAACTGGTAGAAACCGTCCTTGAGGTCGACCCCGGCCCCCGAGATACAGACCCCGCCATCCCCCTTCCCGAGGGCGCCACCTGACCCACGGGAAACCCCATGCTGGGAAAAGTCCTCGGCAGATAGTGCGAACCACTGGTCGCTGAGGTTAAGGCAGCTGAGAGCACCAGGAGTAGCCAGACGGGACTTTGGCGGCCTCTTGTGGAGCTCGTTGACTGGTCTGGCATCCAACACGAGGCGGAACGAGTCCTTATCTTTCTTCTTGACAAAGAACATGCCCACGAGCCGACGCCGTCTGTAGGCGATGAGCCCAACGGCATCGAGTCGTCTAATCAGGTCACGTCGGCGTGGGCCTGGCTGTCGAAGAGAGGGGTCCCAGTGTGGCTGGATCGGCTCGGTGATCGCAGCTCTGGCGGCGGCGTCGAGGGCGATCTTGGAGTTCGGGATGTCGAGGTACTCCCGCGCGCAGTCGCCGACGAGCTCCCTGGCGTCGATGGGCCGCGCGCGACCTTCGAGCACCTTGAGCTTGCTCGGGGCCTACCTCGCAGAGGTCGACGTGTCCTCCACATCGTAGATGGATGAAGACCGCGCCAACTCAGCCAAAGCGCCTCCCTCGAAGGAAAAGTTCGGGATCGGGGGGTCGAAGAGCTTGACCATCCGGGCAATATTGGCGAGCATGGGCCGCTGGCAATCCGACAGCTCATGCCCAGGAACGCGGCGGGGAAATGCGATCCGCACCCCCTGGCCCGCCCTCGAGTCGGCGAGCGCGTTGAGCGAGGCGACGGCGTCGGCCACCAGCGTCTCGGCGCGCTCACGCTTGGCCCTCCGGCGAACGGGCCCCCGATTGGCAGGCCGTACTTCCCGCGCGCGCTCGGCCACGAGCGGCAGCGGGAAAGGCGACGGCGAGGGCGGCGCCGAGTCGCCCCCCTCGCCAGCGCAGGGCTCAGCGCCAAGCTCAGCGCCAGCCCGAGCCACCGCGGTGCAGCGGCAGCTAGTTATTGTCCTTCTCCTTCTTGGCTGCCCGCTTCTCCTCCTCCTCGGCGTATAATCGCTGCTGCATGAGTGCGCATGCGTGCGTCCGCCGTTCCTCCGCCACGTACCTCGCGAAGTCCCCGACGAGGACACCCCCCGCCGAGTCCAGCTTCGAGGCGACCATGACCGACGTGCCCTCGAAGTCTGGCGCCTTCGGGTTCCTCTTGACCGCTGCGTGGATCTGCAAGACCACTCTGGCAGCGGGTTCCGCCCCAGCAAGCTCTCCCAGGTTGAGCTGGTCGAAATTGCAGAAGTGGAGAAGCGTCGCCAGCAGGTCGCGATGCTTGTAGCTGATCTGGATGTCGGGCCCGACGCCACTGCTCCGAACCCAGTAGTCGTGGAACCCTCCCAGCTCTTCTCCCGAGGCCCGCACAGCGCGAGGAAGCTCCTTCACCGCCGAGGGCCCCTCGAACGGCCAGTCCGCCTCCAGCTTCTTGGGGTCGATCCAGCTCATCTCCCACATGGCGGACCTGAGCGACCGATGGCGACCTCTCGTCGAGTCGCGCTCCGCTGGAAGGGTCCTCGGATCACGCCCTGGCCCTGTCCTCTTCTCCTCCTACCACTCGCCCACGTGCTCTGGCGCGAGCCGCTCCGCGGTGGTCCACATGGTCTCGCCATCCTCCTCGGCCCCCACCAGCGCGGTGGCGTCCCGCGAGACGAAGGTGTTCGGGTTGGTAATCACTCCTGAGTCGATGACCTCCCCGAACTTCGCAAAGGCCGTGTCGGCGAACCTCCACTCGGCGGCCGAGGCCGCGGCGGCTGGGCCCGCGACGGCTGCGCCATGAATCAGAGCCAGCGCCCCGCACTCCCGTCTGATCTCCGCCAGCTGCTGGTCCGTGAGTGCATCGGGGCCGCAGTAGCTCGCCCTCGCGCGCGCGGGCACAGGCTGCCCCCGCGTCAGTGGGATGACGTGGAGCTCCGACAAATCGACGATCTGCGCGTGCAGGTCGGGCGCGGCTCCTGCCCATCGGGCATCCGCGATCCTGACGACCAACATCCGCCAATGGTGCTCGAAAATCGGGTCGTCTCGAAACCTCACCGCGATCTGCAGCTCGGGGATGTCTAGTGCCGACGCCATCTAGCCTTAGAGCCTCGGCCGTCTGGGCCTCCACTCGGTGACGACGGTGGAGATCTCCGCTGCCAGTGCGCCCCCAGCCTTGCCAGACGGCGCCGAGAGCCGCGCCGGGCGGCTCGGCCCCTGCGGCTCGAGGGCCGCGAGCGATCTCCCAAGCGCGCCCCTGGGCGCGCTGCCAGCCTGCCAGCGCCGCGAGCAGCGCCAGCCCCACGCTAGCAGCACCACCGAGGCCCCGCTGGCCGCGCCCGCGGCGAACGCAAGGAGCCCGCCGCTCGGTGGGCACCGGCAATCCACGCGGCCCGGCCGTGATGTCTGATCTGCCAACTGCGCCCTGGCCGGGCAAGCGCAGTGGCAGTAGAAGTCCGCGGGCTGCGCTGGGCACGCAGGGCACGGCGGGCACGTGACCGCCGGGGAGCACACCGGGCAGGCCGAGCACTCGACCACCGGCGCGCAGTCTGGGCAGCCCGCGCCAGGCGCCCAGAGGCTCGAGACCCAGGCCCCGAGCAGATGCGCGAACACAGCGCACGCCACGCCCAGGCCCGCCAGGAGCATGCACGGCTGCGTGCGCTCCGGGGGCGCGCGCGCACCAGCTTTTGCCGAAAAGGCGATGGAGGACACCGACAGCGAGATAACGCACCAACATGCATAAACCTCAGGGGGAGAACCCGGTTGGCCTGGGGCATTGCGATTTCATATTAGGATGGACATGTGGTCAGAATCATGAGTCATTTCCATACCCGAAAGGGGTAGCGATAGCTCGCTGGGGGGGGGGTCGACTCTATTTTTTAAAGACAAGATAATTTACTTTGACAGTCTTGAAGCTGTCCTCTGCACTGCTCGCGCAAACATCCCACCCTCCCACCCTCAACTTGGTCGCAAGACCTTTTATGACAAGACCGTAACGGTAGGTACCACATGGCATTTGGCCACGAAACCGACGCCGGCGACGACAACGACGACGACGACGGCGCCGCCGACACCGACTACGACGACACCGACGACAACGACGACGACAACGACTACACCGACGACGACGACGACGCCGACGACGACGACGATGACAACGCCGACGACGACGACGACGACGACGACCACGGCGACAACGACGACGCCGACGCCGACGACGACGGAGACAACGACGACGACGACGACGACGACGACGACGAGGGAGGAGGGAGGACGACGACGGCGACAACGACGACGACGACGAGGGAGGAGGGAGGATGGCGACTACGCGAACGACGAAGAAGGAGGGAGGACGGCGACGCCGACGACGACGACGACGAGGGAGGAGGGAAGACGACGACGACGACGACGGCGACGAAATAGGAGGGACGACGACGAGACGCCGACGACGGACGACGACGACGACGAGGGAGGAGGAGGAAGGACGACCACGGCGACAACGACGACGGAACCGACCACGACGCCAAAGACGACGACGACGACGACGAACACGAGGAAAGACAGAGGACGACGTAGGCGACGACGACGACGAAGCGGGAGGAGAGAAGACGGCGACGACGACGACGACGACACAAGAGCGCGCGCGGACGCTTTTGTTGAAAATCCGTGTTGCGAAACCTTCTGTGTTTTGTACGTTTTTGGGGCACGCGATTTTGAAATCCTTCCCACACCGATGGGTTTTGAAGGATTTCGGCGTACGCGCGCGACGGCGCGCGCGTCTGCACTTCGCCCCATTCGTTGCAGAGGATTCTCGCGACGGCACACGCGCAAGGGCGTTCGACAGATTTCGATATGCGCGCGCGCGAAGCCCGTTTGGTAGCATGTTGTGTAAATCTTGAAACACCGATGGTTTTCTTATGATGTCGCAAGAACTCGCGCGGAAGTTTTTTTTTTTACACAAAAAACATCCGTGTTACGAAACCCTGTGTTTGTATGTGGTTTGGAAACTCGATTGCGAAATCCTTCGGGCACCGAAGATGTTTGAAGGATCTCGGCATGCGCGCGCGACGACGCGCGCTCGTGCATTTCGTCTCATTTATTGCAAGGGATTCGCGAAACAATGTTATGTGAGAACAAACAATGTCACCGCATAGTGTTTTTTAGAAGGGAACCTCAGGGGGGGAACCCGGCTGGCCTGGGACATTGTGATTTCATCTTCAGGATGGACATGTGGTCAGAATCATGTATGATTTACACACCCGAAGCAGGGGTAGCGATAACGCCGGGGGGGGGTAGAGTCTATTTCTTTTAGAAAGGATAATCTAAATGGCGCAGT